TCTTCATTAGTTATGATTATGCATAAATTCTGTGGATCTTTGCACCCTTGAAGTGCTCACAAGTATCACTGAATTTTAGAAAGCGAAGCTATTAATAATTATTAAGGTCTTAAAGTAAAAACCTATGACTCAGAGAGCTTAAGGAACCCAGCAAAGATCAACTGCACAGAAAAAGGCACTAAAGCCTTAGCTTCTTGATAACACATTCAGTCATCATTGATTCATTTCATAAAATGTATTAACTATTAATACTCATTAGCCACCATTTACAAGATTTCTGCCTGAAAAGTTTACAGTCTGATGATAACTTTTAATTTAAGTTTCTAATCTTATATGCATTCAAAATAATCAGAATATTTATGTGGTGAAGCATCTGTAAAACACCCAGAATCCATTAAGTTTAGTTTATAGATAATAATTGATAAAATGTAAATTTAGAAAAATACTCCAACAAATAAGTGTTTTAATATATAATCCATTGAGAGATTTTTGGAGCCAAAAAAGCCATTTTGTTTTAAACCAAATACCCTTGTGTGCTATTATTTAAAGGCATACCATACAGCAATGTCAATGCAATTGATTCCCATTTTATATGCTTTATAGAATTGGACTAGATTGTCTTTCCCCAAAATTCTATGGGAGTTTTTCATAGAAGATATTTCCAAAGTAGCCTATACAGATATACTCAAGATTTAAATCTAGAAGCAGTGGAGATACATTTTTATAGTTTGTATAGTCTGTGAAAGCAGGTTACAGCAATCATATTCACAGCTGCTAGCCAGTTGCAATCTCAGCCACAGTATGTTGCCACTGGAACGGGTGTACATTTGTTTTCACCCAAGTTGAGGGAAGCATTGGGACATTTGGTCTTTCGTACTTAGCTATAATGACTCTATTGTGTGTAGTTTATAAACACACACACCCTTACTTTAATCTCACAGTCTTACCCTGAAAATGCTATTATATGAATTTTGGGGTCATGAGACGATATTTTTAGTTTTGACTTAAGAACACATTAGTGCATTTTCAAAAGTTCAATGTTTCATTGGGGATTTTATGCTATTATGATGTACAAGTTTTTTTTTTTTTTTGAGATGGAATTTTGCTCTTGTTGCTCAGGCTGGAGTGAGTGGTGCGATCTCGACTCACTGCAACCTGCGCCTCCCGGATTCAAGTGATTCTTCTGCCTCAGCCTCCTGAAGTAGCTGGGATTACAGGTGCCCACCGCCACGCCTGGCTAATTTTTGTAATTTTAGTTGAGATGGAGTTTCACCATGTTGGCTAGGCTAGTCTTGAACTTCTTATATATGTCACTTCCACTCATACGCTTTAGAACTACATAGTTGCATGGTCCCAATATAATTGTAAGGAAAGCCAGGAAGTGTGGAGCCACGCAGATCATAAATATTGTGAGCACCAATAGTTTGGGTGATCCACCCGCCTTGGCCTCCCTAAGTGCTGGGATTACAACCATGAGCCACTGCACCTGGCCGATTTATAGTCTTTTTAAGTAATATCTTATATTGGTCAGAATAGGCTAGGTGTTGTTCCCATGACAAATAGAGCCTGAAATTTCTGAGGCTTAAAATAATGGTTTCTTGCTCACACAAAGTACAGTGCAATTCAAGCCGTCTTTCTTTTTCAGCGATTCCATTTTGTAGCTAGTTCATCAGAAACATGGTACTGTGGTAGGGAAAGAGAGTGATGAAGGAGGCACACTGGGTCTTAACTCCCTTCAACAGAAATTACACATGTCACTTCCACTCATACTCTTTTAGAACTACATAGTTGCATTGTCCCAATATAACTGTAAGGAAAGCCAGGAAGTGTGTAGCCATGCAGATCATAGATACTGAGAGCACCAATAGCTTCTACCACATATGTGTTGTCTACAGTCACACTGTCATCTCTTTTCTTCATTCAGCAAACACTACTAATTACCTTTCTCTCTGCAAGGATTTGTGCTACATGATAGATGATTCTGTTACCAGAAAGGGGCCCTGATCCAGACCCCAAGAGAGGGTTCTTGGATTTTATGCAAGAAATAATTTGGGATGAATCTATAAAGTGAAAGCAGGTGTACTAGGAAAGTAAAGGAACAAAAAATGGCTACACCCAAGGCAGAGTAGCAGCATGGGCTGCTCAGCTGCTAACACTTATTATTACCTCTTGATTATATGTTAGCAAGAGATGGATTATTCACGAGTTTTCTGGGAAAGGGGTGGGAACAGAGGGTTCCCAGAACAGAGGGTTTCTCCCCATTTTAGACCTTACAGGGTAACTTCCTGACCTTACCATGGCATTTGTAAACTGTCATGGCACTGGAGGGAATATCTTTTAGCATCCTAATGCATTGTAATTAGCACATAATGAGGAGTGAGGAGGACCAGAGGTCACTTTTGTCTCCATTTTGGTTTTGGTGGGTTTTAGCTGGCTTCTTTACTGCCGGCTGTTTTATCAGCAAGGTCATTATGACCTGTATCTTGTGCTAACCTCCTACCTTATTCTGTGACTAAGAATGCCTTAATCTCCTGGGAATGAAGCTCAATAAGTCTCAGCCTCATTTTACTCAGGTCTTATTCAAGATGGAGTCGCTGTGGTTCAAAGGCCTGTGACAATGCCAGAGATAAATAAAATGTCATCTCTACTTTCAAATAACCTAATATATTGGGGCTACAGAAACAAAAATCATATTATAATATAGTCATATGTGAAACAGAAAGATAATGCCCCAGACAGAGGCCTAAATCATTTTCTATGGGCAGGATCACAGAGAAAGATGAACTTAACCCTTATTTGTTAACAAGGAATCCTTAAAATGCTGTAGAAGTGATGATATATTTGCTGGGCATTAAAGGAAGAAAAAAGGCTTAGGCAAGTTTGATACGGGAAAGAGGACGGTGAATGAGAAAAGACGGAAAAATGTGAGAAGATTGTGCATGACTGAGGAATGAAGAAGGGATAAACAACCTAAACCACAAAGATGTGGGTATATAGTAAAAGACATGTGGACTTCATGAGTATATATGTTATGTACGTATTCACAGTTTGCTCATCTGTGGAATATGAGTTGCTAGAATGTTAAGTGTATTGCTATTTGTTTCTCCCACTGTTATTTCAGCTTATGAAAAGAAATCAAGGCAAACATTTTACCAGAGCATTCCAAGTTCTAATCATATGGCTTGTTTTTTCCCTAAATTGTATTTTTTTCTCCATTTCTTAACAATATTAAACTATAAGTAATAGGATAAATTGGCTGAATTTATTCTTAGCTGATTCTCCCTCCTTTCAGATTCCTTTCTAGTCAAATCAAATTTTACGTAACATACCTAGTTATCACAACAAAGCAATTTAGAAATGAGTTCCCAAATACTAACTCTGTGACAGTAGGTAAATTAGATCCAGAATTTTAATTGTTGAAAAAACAAGACTTAAAAAGAAGGTTATGATATCATGCTATAAGTAGTGATGTTTGGCATTCAGCAATAGGTTAAACAAGCCAAGAACATGGGACTATAAGAAAAAAACAACAAAAAAGAAAAATCAAAGAGAAGGAAAAGGGAGAATAGGATCAAAATTCAGAAAGCATATGGTCTTCTTCCTCTTCTTTGACAGGAAATAAAAGTGATGAATGAGCAGGAAAAATGTCAATAGCAAACACTCAAGAATATGACCTTGAAATGTGCCTTTATGTTGTTTCTTTGAAATGTTTAACTTTTTTGTAATTAAATGAAGTATTTAGAGTCACTGCTAGACATTCCATCATTATCAAAATGCCTATTATGTCTTACACAAACGTCTATTTAAGCATTTTTAGCTTAAAAATATGAAATCCTTTCTGTAATTTTCTGCCTTTTTTTCAGTTTCAAATATCATTCTTTCAATAAAATTATCTTCCAATAATTTTGAAGTTATTAATCACCATTATTTATTCATCTTATATTATGCCTACCAGCCACTTCATGTATATTATTTCACTTAAATCTTATGAAATCAACCCAAGATTGATATTACTTTTATTTCATAGCTACAGAAATTGAAATTCAAATTTTGTCCATTACAATAGACTAGCTGCGGCAAAAGACAGTGTGAATTTACCCGAATGACTTAACTATCTTTTTATAAATTTGTAAAATGTGAAGAATCATAGAACACATCTTAAAAGGATTATTGTGAAATCAAGGAGGAGAAAGTTAGTTAAACTGGTAGACAAACTGCAATAGGACTTGTCAAGTCAAAACCTACAATTATTCTTTTGGATAGTTTCTTTTTCTCGAAAGTGGCAATTTAACTTAAAGTTGTTAAAGAAACCCAATCTTTGAGGTAGGTTAAACGTTCTCTTCCAGCCCTTCCTCTTTCCAACTTTCCCAAGAAGCATATTTTAGACAGAGGAAGAGACCAAACCAATGACTGCACAATTACCATTATCTCTAGCACTATTCGTTGTCAAATAACTAAATGCTGGTTTGAAGAACTAAGTAATTGGAGAAATCAAAAATGAAAGGAATTACTTATAAATGATTTGAAAAAAAATCCTTATTTTTAATGTCTTTTGGTGCTGTTTTCTATGCCCTTCCTCCTATGGTGTCAATTTTATTTTTTTCTGTAAAGTGATTTGGTTAGTGAGTCTAATCTCCAACAGTGCACTACCTCCTTCTCCCAAAAAGGCCTCAGTTGAAAAATGGCTCAACACTTTCACTGCAAATTCACAGTGAGGATCTCCTATTCTCCCTGCATTCGGCCAGACTCTTCTCTTTTTGCCTGCTTTCCTCTCCCATGCATGGGTTACACAACTCTCTGGAATATCTAGACAGAGCTACCCCACACCTGACTCCTAGGTCAGGCTACAGAGTACTTCGGATACAGCAAGTCACGACCCATCTGAAACGACAGATCTACCTGCCTTTTGGCTTTCTTCCTTGGTCAAAACTAAAATCCGAAGTGGAGTGCCCCGAGCGATAGAGAAATTGCCTATAGCTTTGACAGCCTCTCGGAGCATGCTCAGTCGGTCTCTAGGCACCGGGAGGCGGCTCCCCCCCACCACCCCCCGGGCCGGCCTCCACCGCAGTCTCTCCGGCCCCCACCCCCGGCGCGCGCTCCTCCGCACCCACAAGGGCGTTCAGCAGCAGCCGCGCCTCCCCTTCCCGCCGCCGCCTCCTTTTCCGCTGGCTGTGGCGGGCGAGGACACGTCAGGGGCCATAAATAAATAAATAATTCCATTCACCCGTTGACAGCAAGGCGAACCGGCTGGGGCTTGCGGGGAACAGAGAGCTGCAGCGCCCACCCTGCGCCAGAGACCAGATAAAGTAAGTACAGCTGGGGAGGGAGGGGGGCGGAGGAGGAGGACGAGGAGGCGGCGCAGGCGAAGAGGAGCGAAAGCCCGCGTCTGCGACCCGAGCTGCCCGCGGAGCCGCACGCGTGTGTGCAAATAATGGCCAGCCTGTGACAAACGTGCCAACGCAGAATTGGCCAGCGAGCCCTTATATAGACAAAAAACCCCGAAGCGGCCGCGGGAGGAGAGCTCGCGTCAGCCAGTGAGCGCCGACAGCGGCCCGGGAGCTGCTGGGGGTGTGCGGGGTCCCGGGCAAGGAACGCCCCGCGTGCTTTCGGCCAGGAGGTACCCACGCTCTCGGCTTTTACACCTAGACTCAGCGTGGCGCGGTGCACCCCAGTCTCCCTGGCTCACGAGACTCGGAGGGCTGCTTGCGTGCGGCGTGTCTCTAGTGCGCGCCCTGCCAGCATCCGGCCCCCGAACCCCCTAGGGTAGCGTGGCTTCATTGCCACAGAAGTTGGAGGTGGGGGTGGTGAGAGTGTGTGTAGGGAACGTCTTCTCTTTGAGCAGATGATCAGGACAGGAAGAGGCTGCGAGGGGAAGACGAAATACCGGGGGATTGGGGCGTGGTGGTTGTCTTTCTTCATTTTTGGTCCCCAGGAAGGATGGCAGGGGTGGAAGCAGATGGAAAAGTGTATGCGGGCGAGGCCTGAGCCCAGGCAGAAACGGAGCGCTGACTTGGCAAGGGTTCAGGAGGGCCTGTGCCTGCTGGGCTGCCTGGGCTACTGCACCACACTGGGGGCACTAGGCCCGGTCAGGTGGCGCCACAGGCTGCGAGCCCGCTCACGTGCGAGCCCGCTCACGTGCGAACTGTTTTCCCAACGGATGCTGCATGGCAGCTCCCTTCTCTACCCGCTTTTCTCCTCTACTTCCGCGAAAACGATTGCAGACTGCCTTGGAAAGGGCGGTCGTGCCCAATACCACTTTCCCGGTAGGGCTGAGGAGGGACTTTTGTAGTTCCAATTCCAGGGAAATTAAAATTTTACACACACACACACACACACACACACACACACACACACACACACACGAGAGACATAGAAGAGGAAATGAGGAGTGGTTTCTCTATAATTGTTTTTTGATTGCCTTTCCCGGAGAAATAAGTAGGACTAGGCTGCGTTGCGTTAGGGCTGGTTAGTGGCATTAGGACAGCTGTTATTTCATGTCCTTCTTCCCTCTTGGGTCCCAAAGGAGACACAGAAGAAGAATAAAATAGCGGGCAGTGATGAAGGTGATGTGAAAATACTGGACCAGAGGAAGGAGTGACTACTGGATGCCATTTCCTGTCACCCCATGCTTCATGGCTAACCCCAGTCTAAACTCAGAGGGTTGCCAACTTTCCACAGACAGGTTAGCTTGAATGTGTTGTGTCACTGGAACCACAAGCACTAAGTATGCATTTGGTGGAGTGTGGCTGAAAAATGAGAGTTGGGTGGGGACTGGAGAGGGCAAATGAGGATTGAGCAAAGTGACTAATATTTAGCCCCGGTGAAGCAATCCTAACTCCAGCTTCTACTTCTAACTGAGCACATTACATTTAAAGCAATCCAAGTGAGGGACTGAATGATCTCAGTGGAAAGGAAAGATTATAACCATAAGAAACTCAGTGTATTGTGTAACAACTTACAAAGTCAGAAACTATTTTTTGTAAATACATCAACAGTTTGCAGTTACATATTACATTTTTTCCCCCAAGGCATGTTTTAATATTAAGTGATCTGAAATTTTAACACCTGTTTCCCAAAGTTCAAATTAGTGTATCCTTCTATAAATGCTCATTTTATTTCTAGACATTCATTTGCTCTTTGATAATGTCTGGCTTATATTTTTGGCTTTGAGCTCTTTTAAAGGGAAGGAGAGAAACATTACCTAAAGAAACCTCCCTTGTCTAGAGTCATATTCCTGGATCATGGATCTGAAATAAAAGGCATCTCCAGAATTTGATTTTAATTCTGTATTCATTCACCAAACATTTTTGAGACATTCACATGGAAAAAGGGAATTAACTTTAGAACAGATTGGTTCTGCACTTTTGTAAGGTTGAGTAGTTGTTTAACAATCAGGGCTTTACCTTTTTCTTATCTATAAAATGAGATTGGTGGTACCCACTCTGAAATGCTATTGGGAAGAATAAAGTGTGTGGTAAACACCTAGAATTTAGACAGGCTATATTTGAGCTCCTATAATCAGTCTAGACACCCTACCAGGGTTACCAAGATGAATGAGGCTGGAATTCTGTTCTCAAGAAGTTCTCATATAGGCAGTCATCCAGGTTAATCTTTTCTTGTATCCCATTTGCCTTTTAGTCCCCCCCTTTTTTTTTCTCCTCTTGATGGAAGAAACATATATCCCAAATAACTTGAAAGGAACTCCGCAGTTGTAAGAAATGTTGGTAAGATCTGCTAAAAGGCAAATTTGAGAAGAGTGTCTTTTCTCAGGAACCTGTATTCAGCCCGTTTTTTGTTCATTAATAGTGAATAAAAACAGGTAATGAAGGATTTTTCTTCATGTTAGGAGGGGAGGATGATCCTTCTCTGAAGACTATCTTTGTCAATGAATTGGTTTCCATCATTTGAGAGAAGAGTTTGAGCTGCAGTTTCTACTACACCTTGGACAAACCAATCCACTCACTCCTAAGAGTATGAAGTAACTGTAGTACATAACGACTATAATGACAACTCTGTAATGCTCACCATATTCCAGGCACTGTGCTACTACTGTCTGATAGCATGTAACAACCCTGTGAGGTAGATCTATCCATATCCATATTTACAGAACAAAGAATTTAGGCCCAGAAAGTTTCATAGTTTATTCAGCTGGTACACCTAGTAAGTGGCTGGGCTGGGACAAGCAATCCATGCGATCTATTTGGCTTTAACCACTATGTAATATAGCTTCTGCCTTGTGTGAAGCTAAATAAGAGCAAAGATCTTACCTGTTGTTTTCTCCATAGGCCAGTACAGTGTCTGGCATATCATGGTTCAGAACAACTGATTATAGAAAGAAGGAAAGAGGGAGGGAGGCCGAACTGGAGGAAAGTGGGGAGAGGAGGAAATAAAAATTAGCAAACCAAGTGTCTCCTGCCTTCAACTCTGAATCTGGCAGGAAATCCGGCATGAACTCTGCCATGAGAACAGAATTTTTGAGGCTCTTTTGAGGATTCCTTTTCCTTGTCTTGCATCTAATCATCTAGTTTATGATGCTCGTTTGTGCAAAATAGGAAAATACTCTCTTTGGTCTGACAGATTAGCAAAAGGTGCCCATGAAGTGCAAACATCAAAGAGTGACCTACTCAAGGTGGTCAGGAAAAAAGAAAAAAAGAAGATTAAAGAAAGAAAGAAATTAAAAGGGCAGACCGTAATGCAGGGGCACTGGATTTAAATTTTAGTTAAGCCACTGACTGGCTTTGTCTTATGCAGTGTTGTGGTAGTACTTGTATGGTTGTTCTGAACACCAAAGAACATAACAAAGCTGTTTCCTACTGTATCTGATAAATGGAGTGGCATGCAGCAAAGAGTAATTACATTCTTTTATTGCTCTTTGTTCCTCTCCTCCCTCCAGCCCATCCCAAATAAAAAGTATCCTCCTGGTTTCCACATCTTGAAGCAATCTGTGTTCATCTGAACTACTTCGTAACTTGATCTAGGCTTCTCTTAGGCTGATTCTTACATTATTACCTTGAATTACAATTATTTGGGAAGGCATCCTATCTCTCTTCCTGGGCTACATGGTCCTTGAGAGTAGATAGTATATCTGATTCATCTGGGAACCCCTGTTTAGCTGGTACTTGGGACAGGATAGGGCAGAGGAGGTGCTCTGAAGTCCAACCTGTCTGGGTTTTGATCTTAGCTTTGCCACTTGCAAACAAAGACAAGTTGCTAAACCTCTTTAAGTCTCAGTTTCTTCATGTGTAAAAATAGAATAATAACCAATTTTATATGTTGGTTGTAAACATTGAATGAGATAATATCTGTGAAATAGCACTGTGCTGAGCACATGCATAGAAATAACTCAGTAACTAGTGTTAGATATTAAATATTTGACTTTACACGTTTTAGTTTGTCACGAGCATCACTGGCTTATTTTTAGCAGATTTTTGGAAACTCTGAAATGCCGAACTTGCCATTAGATGGCACAACAAAGTTGAATTGCATAATAAACTATTAAGTGGACTCCCCTTGAGAGGTCATCCTGGTTTGTCCCAGGCTTTCTCAAAACTGTTTGGATGAAAGTGATTAAGAAATACTTTGGGAAACAACTGCACACTAGTTCTCAGTGAATAATGGATTTTTTTTTTTTAACTTGTGAAAAAGCTTCATTTTCTCAGTTGCTCCTTTAAATGGTGACTCCAGGGACCAAGTCTACCTCTATGAGAGATCCAGCTGTTTAAAATCATAATTTGAGAGACTAACTTAAAATGAACCATTGTTGAGAGGAATAAATAATACTTACCACATGTATTTGGTAATTAGTAAATAAGTAGAGGGTCTGTGCATTTAGATATCAACTATAATCATTAAAAATATAGGAGAAAATTAAACAAATTGGAGTTGACTATAATAAAACTAGTCCAGCTGGAGCTGGACTAACTGGGACTTAGGTGCATCATGGACAATTTCAACATATTCACAAATATCAGTGTTGATAAATCAAGCAAATATTTTTAGAAATAATTTTTCGGACCTAATACTAAAAGTCCTGCAAATGTTTACATTAATATTCATTGAAGTCTCAAAGGACCTCATGAAAATCCTATGGGACAATTGAACGACAGCTACAAGATACCAGCTTAAAGGTACTTCCATTAAAGGTTTTGTGCAGTTATGATAGTTCTACAAAAATGTCTATGTGGTTCAATTATAGAGTCTGGTGATTAGTTTTATATAATATTTGGCACTAAAATAGCAACTTTCAATAGAAAATATTTTGTGTAAGTGGTGAACACAAATGAAATGTTTGTTTGGATAAATAAAG